CCAGCACTATTTATTGAAGAGACAGACTATCTTTCTCCATTGTTTCTTCTTGCTGCCTTTGTCATAAATTAAATTACTATATGCATTTGGGTTCATTTCTGGGCTATTTGGTTGCATTTATCTTTGTGTCTGTTTTCTGCCAATACCACACTGTTCTCATTTCTCTAGCTTTGTAATATAGTTTGAAACCATAAGGTATGATGCCTCCAACTTTGTTCTTCTGTCTCAGCACTGCTTTGGCTATTTGGGATCTTCTGTACTTCCATGCAAATTTTAGGACTGTTTGTTCTATTCTGGTGAAAAACGCCACTGGAATTTTGATAGAGACTCAATAAAAGGCAGTAGAAATGCTGTATTTATATATATAGCATAAATTACTGTACAAAAAGGCAACAAAAAAGATTTTTCTATAGTTGACCCTTGACAACATAAGAGTTAGGGGTGCCAACCACCACATAGCAAAAAGTCTACATGTAACTTTCAAACTACCAATAGCCTATTGTTAACCAGAAAAATGCCTTATCAATGAAAGGATGGATGAGCACATATTATTTACGTTACATGTATTACATACTATATTATTACAATAAAGCTAGAGAAAATTTTTTCAGAGTTGTTGCAAATCTCAGAAAATTATTCCAATATATTTATTGAAAAAAATCCATGTATAAATGGACTGCACAGTTCAAGCCTGTATTGTTCAAGGGTCATATGTATTGATTTTGTACCCTGCAACTTTACTAGATTTATGAGCTCAAACAGGTTTTTGGAAGAGTCATTTGGGTTCCCTATGTCATCCTCAGAGTGATGGCTTTACTCCTTTATCTCTTGTTGGGATGTCTTTCATTTCTTTTTCCTGCTTAATTTCTCTGGCTAGGACTTCAGATACTATGTTGAATAAAAAGTAGTGAGAATGGAGATCCTTGTCTCGCTCTTGGTCTTAAGGGAGAAGCTTTCAGCTCCTTGCCCTTGAGCACGACATTAGCTGTGGGCTTGTCATATATGGCCTTCATTATGTTGGGGTATGCTCCATCTGTACACACTTAATTGAGGGTTTTATCATAAGTGGAGGTTGAAATTTGTGAAATGTGTTTTCTACATCTATTGAGATGATCGTACTTTCATCCTTCATTTTGTTAATGTGGTATATCATGTTCACTAATTTGTGGGTGTTGAACCATCCTTGAATCCCTAGAATAAATCCCACTTTATCATGATGTATAATCTTTTAATGTATTACTGAAATTAGTTTGCTAATATTTATTGAGGATTTCTGCATCTAAGTTCATCAGGGATATTGGCCTGCAATTTACATATTTTGTGGTGCTCTTGTCTGGTTTTAGTACACAGGTAATGCTGGCCTTGTAAAATAAGTTTAGGAGTGTTCCCACCTCTTCATTTTTTTTGGGAAGAGTTTGAAAAGAATGGGTATAAAATCTTCTTTGAATGTTTGGTAGAATTCACTAGTTAAGCCATCTGGTTCTGGCCTTTTGGGCCCTGTATGTTCGTTCCTTTATGGGGCTAGCTAAATGTTTGTCAATCTTGCTTTTCTTTATAAAAGATGAGCACTTAGCTTCACTGATCATTTTTATTGCCTTTTTAGTCTCTATTTCATTTATTTTCACTTTGATTTTTATTATTTCTTTACTACTAACTTTGGGCTTCATTTGTTCTTTTTCCAGTTCCCTGAGAGATAAAATTAGATTGTCTGAGGTTTTTCCCATTCTGGAAGTAGGCCTGTGAGGCTACAAATGTCCCTCTTAGAACTGCTTTTCCTGCGTCCCACATTAATAAAATGAAGGATAAAAGTATGATCATCTCAATAGATGTAGACTTTGGTCTGTTTTATTTCCCTTTTCATTTATCTCAAGTTATTTTTTTACTTCTCCTTTGATTTCTTTTTTGACCCATTGGTTGCTCTATCATGTTGTTTAATCTCCATATATTTGTGAATTTTCCACTTTTCTTCTTATAGTTCATTTCTAGTTTTCATACCATTTTTGTTGTAACACATGCTTGGTATAATTTCACTCTTCTTAAATTTATTGAGACTTGTTTAGCGACCCAATATATAAACAATCCTGGCATTGTTCAATGTACCCTTGAGAATGTGTATTCTGCTGTTTTTATAATGGAATACTCTGAATATATCTGTTAAATCTATCTGGTCTGATGCGTCATTGAACACAGCTCATATGTAATTAATATCTGTACATTAAATTAGTAACTGATTAAATCCACATATAATCATATTAACTATACATTTTTAATTCTTTCCCAATTTTAATTCTTATGTTAAGTAGCTCCAAGGAAACAAAAATGTGATCCTAGGCAGTCATCTGAAAATCCAACAGAAAGTCAAATCAAGAAAGCAAGCTTCATCATTACTAGTCATGGCCACAAAAGGGACTGGTACCTTTTTATTATCCACAACTTTATGGACATAGATGGTGGCTTGAGTATATTCACGCAGGTCCCTCTGCTGTTGACACAGTAAGCCTTCTCTGCATTCCGGACAGAGTTCTAAAAACAGTGAAATAGAAGTGGCTGAAGAATTACCGCCAAAGAACCAAAGATCTAAAAACACACATCAAAGTTACCAATGAATATTGATTAAACTCTTACTCATATTTTCTATTCATTGTATTCTATTGTATACAAATAACAAAATCTACTAACTGCCCAACAAATAGGTATACAAATAATGAGAAAGTTAATTACATGACAGTTTCTGCCGGTTGAATTGTATTTCAGACCACCATATGATCTTTAATTTTAAAGTGAGAGAATACAATATTCTTTAATTCTTTAAGTAAAGAACATATATTCTTTCCTTCCCCATTAAAATATCAACTTTTAACTATACAAACCAAGAGCAATATGAAAACTTACTAGGCTCAGAAATATATTGTGTTTCTGAAGGGCTTACATCTTCCACTTCAGTTCTCGTGATTTTAATTACATGATCCACAACAAAGAGTTTTTGTATCATTTGCCACTCACTGGGCCATATGAGAGCTATACTGTGCAAAAAAACACAACATGCCTTAAGACACATGGGATTTAAGACAACTAACATAATCCATTAGTCTCCCACACCAAAATCATCAAAGCCAGTATTTAAGAAAAAGAAATTAAGAAGAGAAAGATACATCACTGTCAACGGGAATACTTTTTTTCATATGAAAGAATGCTGTAACAGCAGTGAAACTAAAACTGGAATTACATGAATCAATATGATTCTATCTTAAAAAAACTAAACTGAGTAAAGAAGTTAGTTGCAGAAGGATAAATATGATGCCATTTACAGAAAAGAATTTTAAAAAGCAAAAACATCACTATATTATTATTTTTTTAAAGGACTATTTTATGAGACTGATAACCCTCAACTTCAGGAGAGTCAGGAAGGAGAAAAAAGGAGGAATGGAAAAAGGGACAGATACTGAGTGGCCTTCAATTAATTATATTTGAATTAACTTTTAAGTTGACTGGTGACACCTTTGTTTTATTTTTATCGATTTTAATATAGATATTCTTTGGATGTTTAAGATTTACAATACATACACACACAACGGAAGGAAAAAAGAACTGGTGGAAAACCTTAAGAAAATATATATTAACTCTGAGCTTCCTTACATGATGTTAAAATATTGATGCATGAATAAACCCCCCCTAATTCTAGCTTAGCCCCAAGGGCTTTTAATTGTGTTTAAATTTTCATGGTTACAGGCAATGTCAGAGGCATTCTGCCTTCTCTTAAACAGCTATTTAAAAATTATTTCCAAAGATAAAACGACATCGGGTGTGAATTTCAAAGATGAACCCTTTTGGAAGCACTTGAGGAGTGAACAAAATTTTTATTTTTAAGCTCCTAGAATTCCGGATGACTGGCTCAGTGACTCTGTTCTGGTGCCAGGCTGCCTTCCTCTTCCTCTAGTTTCTGAAGCCTGGTAACTGCAGAAAAAATACTACAGCCAAGTTCCCCCTGAGACACTGTACTCATTACTGCTGGTCAGGACAGAGAAAGCAGAGCTCTAGGAAGGAGCAGGAAGACACAAAGGGCAAGGTGGCCTCAGGCCTCAGGCACCCTCTTGCTTTTTACGGAGAAGCAGTCTTTCTTTAAAAAAAAAAAACAAACCCACCAGTGCCCATTCTGGCAGATCATATAAAAGGTAAAAAACCTCACAATACAGGAAAGGATGAGATTCTTAAAATGGACTGTTTATGTCAGATGAGGAATTTCCTAGATATATTTTATTAATAATTAGAAAAACCACATGAAGAGAAGAAACTCACAGTTTAGAATCTTCTTTGGTCATGGAAGCAAATGTAAACATGAGTCCCCCATGGGGACACAGAAGAGCACCGTTTCCAACCGACGACACAGGACTACATCTTGCAGGTTTTCTACTCAAATGAGACAAGGACAATCAATATATTTCACTACTGTATGACTAAAGAGGTTTTTTTTAAAGATAATTATTTTAAAATTATAGATACATATATTTAAAAGGATACTAGTAATTAAATGTGTTCCTTAGGATTATCCACTTAACAGAAAAGAAGGCTTTCAATATATGCAAAAAAAAACAAAAAAACAAAAAAAACCCTAAAACAAAAAACACCATTGAAGGGTTCCACAATCAGAATCCATGAATTCTTAAAAATACTAGAATCAACAACTACAAAAAAGGAAACACAAAATGTTTGGTTTGTACCTAACAAATTTCCGCCATTCTTCTACAAAGAACTGTGACACAATGTAGAGGACATCCGTATCCTAGAACGAAAAATCAAATACAAGTACCCATTAATCTGCTGCATTCTTAACTTAAATCCTTTATGGAAAATGTTTTTCCATAAACTGTGATTTCCCTTTTCAAGCTGTATAAATAAAATGGAAATACAGTCCTTTACCAAGAAATAGTAAGCTACAGCAAATCCCTCTGACCACGTAATTAAACAAATGCCAACTAGAGAAGCTTAGAGATGATCTGAAATAGTTCATCAGGAATTTGGCAAGAGCCTTAAGAAGGTAAGTAAATTCTATCCTTTGTGGGACTCGTTATACCTCTGGCCAGTTACTGAGACACGGTCTGTTTTTGTCCTGGAACAAATTCGGCAGAGACGTCTTCTGCTCATTTGCGATCATCTTATGTAAGGCTTCATTTTCTTCCCCTTCTCTCTCTAAGATCTGAAAGGGAATGAAGCGTAAAGCAATCAACCGTCTCCTGCTGACAGCACAGAACTTGCCTCCCCCCCACTCCCCCATTAAAAGTACAATGTTAATTCTCCTGGGAGTCAGTCTAGGGAGGTGGCATGCGATGCCCACAGATGTCAGCACAGCTTCAAGTACCTTGCACTGTGAGCAGCATTCTCTGTAACTTGGAAATTCAGGAGCCTTTGGAAAGTACTGTTGCAGTTTGCTCCAAGCCTCTTTAGAAACAAGCCTTCTTTCATTCTCAGATATGCATAACTCTCCTAAATTAAAAAAATATATATTTGAAAAAAAAAGCTAAAAAGGGGTCAATATAATCTCCAAAAATCTATTTCCTATTTCTTAAACCTAGAAAAATTTGTAGGTGCTCTTTTTCTTCTTTTCTAAAGTATTGTAACTCTCCTTGTGAAAAATCTCCAAATTTCACATTTTATGTCATCTAATTCTACAGAAGCTGGCCATTCCTTTATGTCCTTAATCTAGATTTGTGATTGAAAAATTAGGAGATAAGAATAAATGTGAGACTGGAGCCGTTGATTTCCACTGGTAGCCAGTGAGAGGAACTGCCAGGGACCCTGTCACCCTGCGGCCACAGCAGAGGTTGTTCAACAGCATTTCATCAACACCCACTCAAGAACAATAATTTCCCACAGACTTTATTTACTCTCTCCCATTGATTGTGTCACTTTTCGAATGGTATTTTCAAGGTTGGTTTCAACATTTTGGGGCCCATTCTCTTAAGTTACCGACTCGAAGTTAAGTAATAAAGCGATCTATGGCTTATTCAGAAAATCATCTCCTGTCAGGACCCAACTGAGTTGATGTTACTACTGCCACCACCCCAATCCCCATGGATCTTCAAATTCCAGAAGAGAATACTAGTCACCACCACCGCCCTTCCACCTATCAGGGGACCAGGGGACCACCACCCAGATGGCAGCCCCTGAGCTCTCAGCAGCCCAATCCCAGCTTACTGTCTACATAGCTAGTTTTTCCAGGGCCTTTCTCTCAAATCTATCCCTTGCTGTTTGATCATATACAATATCACCATTCTTTGCTTATGTATTTTACATAATAAACAAATTGAGATGCAGAGAAATTAATATAGCCAGGGTGACCACCGATGATTTATCATAAAGCTGGGAATATGAACCCAGGTCTGTCTCATCCAAACTCCATAATTTCTAATGCCTCAAAATACATCTTTGTAATTTCCACCCTTCGCCTCTTATTGAGCCTTGAATAATCCCAAGACAAGATTACTTTGCTTTAATAAGCTTAATAATGGAGAAAATGTCACAATGTGAAAATTACTTTCTTCTTGAGTAGGCTGTTAACTTTCCTCTGAGGCTGTGAAACCTTACTCCAATATGCCTATCCTCAGACATAATTAACTATTTATTTTGTTAAAAAGAAGAATTAATTGGATTATCAAACTCTGATTTAAGTGCATCTTAATGGTGAAAGGAATATAATGCAGCCATTAAAAAGATTAAGGTAGATTTCCATGACCTGATTTAGAAAGATCTTCAAGGCAATTACAATTTTAAAGGGGCTTCTTTTTTTTTTCAAAACAAGACTCTTCCTCTATGTGTATGTGGTATAACTGATCTGATTCAGAAAAGGAGAGAATGAAGGAAATAATACAAAGACACACACACGTTTTAATAGGATCCTATAACAATATGGATGCACTGCTTTTGTTCTGATGTGGGGATATTTTTACTGAGTGACTGGCTTTAAGGTTGGATATGTATTGCTCAGCCAAAACTCTTTTCTGAAATCAGAACAGTTTTTTAATAAATCATCTTACTGCACTCTAATTGGTAATAAATACAGAGTCCTCCATTCTACTTCTTAGCCATATTTTAAAGTCTAGTTTCATGTCATTTTAGTAACTACCATGACTTAATGCATCTGAATATTATTAATGACTTTGCACTATTTAACTTTTACTTGTGACATAGGGAATATTTAGAAATCAGACTTGTATCCTGCAATAAATAACATTGTTTCCTGCCATCAACTAAATTTATCTTGTGAGCAACATCTCCCAACACAAGATCACATCAGTCATGAGAGACTTAATTCACCAAACATGATTGGATAACCTAATCCCCAAAGATCCTTCTGGTAAAAACAGAAATCTAGTTAACAAAGAGATTAGATTCTGGATTAATACCCTCCACCCCAACCCCAATGATGTTAAACCATAATAATCTGGGCTACAGAGCATTCGAAGAACTTATAAATAAACAAAATAAACTGTCCAACTGCTAAGCAAATTAGGTGTAATAAACAAGAAAGGTTATCTACTTAAATGAATACAAAATGAACTGGATAAGAAAACCTAATGCATATGATACCTGCCATAAATGCTGAAATCTATGGTAGCAGTAAATCTTCTAATGGAACATAATCCAGTGATTAATTCACATAAATCTGTGATGTATTAAGTATACACAGGGCTCCAGACATACATCAGGACTTTGCTATAAAAACATGAAAATTCAAAACAAAGATGTCCAGATAAACACATTTTACATCTGCATTTACTTTCAGTGCCTCCTGAAACATCATTAAACCACAGTAAACGGACTTTTTTAGAAGATATAAAATCGTAATGATGGATAAAGAGAACAGAGAGGGAACAATGACAACAAAAACATTTTAGCTTAAAAGCAGATGGATAAGACACAAGGAAAATGAGTTCTACTTTGGAAAAAGTCAAGAACTAACTAGATTTACTATCCTGCAGAACTGTCTCTACGGACCCAGAGATTGGGAGGCCCCTGGAAGTGTTCGTGGGGTTAAAAATAAAATAAATAAAAGAATGAATTAAAAGTCTATTTAAGAGGCAGTTAAGATTCTCAACGCCCCTCATCTCCACCCTACAGATAACTGCCCCTCTATCCAAAGAAGAGCCCTGTAAGCTTCTCTGATGACAGAAAACCTAAAGCTTCTGCACTGGGGGACACCAGGCACAGAAATGAATGAGGTAAGGAGCAGAGATGGGGATGCGTAAACGTCTCCACACAGAATGCAGAGACTCCCAAGCCTTTTCTCTACCCTCCCAAAGCAGTGACAGCCTGCTCTCCATGTCCCACGCAGGAAAATGTAAGATGCAAATGGAGAAACCTGAGCAGCCCAAGAGCAGATCCTGATACTGGGAATTCTCTAGTGGAACAGCCCAGTCAGGACAACGCAACAGTAAAGCCTGCAGTCGCCAGCCCTCCTACACATGCCACAACCTCCACAGAGCACCTCACCCAGGAAACGAGGTAGGACCTTCACCTGGGAAGGTCAGTGTGAAATCATGGGGACAGAAACATTCTGCAAGCTGCTGAAAATAAAAGGAAAAAAAATTACCCATAAAGAATGGCTTTTGACAAATGGTACACAGAAAGAGCGAGCAAGTACTTCAGTTTTCTGAAGAAAAATCATTTCAAGCACACACAGTCCCTAGGCTTTGCAAAACTACCCATTGAATGTGGTGATTGTGAACAGATGACTGTCACCTCTCTGCACCTCAGTTTACTTACTCATCGGTTCAATGGATTTGATGATGATGATACGTACTTCTCAAGGTTGTATAGATTAAATGAGTTAGTATCTATACACTTAGAAAACTAGCAGACATGAGGTACACATTCAATAAATGTCCACTACCATCTTATTACTAGCAGTACCATTACTACCACTACTACAACCAACATTTCTCAGGAATAAGTTCTAATATAAACCTGATGAGCAAACTGAGTTTCTAGGTAAAGTCCAGTAGCCCGCACCTGAAAAACCTGACCCGGTAGACATGGACACTGACAGGTGGTTTCCACAAAACGAGAGCTGAGAACTATCCTTTAGAATACAAGATAACAAAATGTATCAACGGAAGCCACCAAGTTGCAAATCAAGCTAAAGATTTAAACAATTTCTGGTGGGGAGCACAGCACGAGTCCTGAAATCCCACTCTGCTCTGTCATGCTTCTTGTCAAAACTACTACTGAAATGACAAGACGAGGGGTAGGAAGACAGAGTCAGGGGGCAGAGAAGGAGGCCTAGAGCCCGAGTCCCAGCACCCTCCAGCCGGCGGGGCGGCACCACGCGCAGCTCAGGGTCTTGCCCCAGATGCCTCAACTCTCAAAATGAAGGCGCTTGCCCTCTCTCCACATCTATGCTATGATGGTAAAGAAAGGAGTCGATAAGAAAGCATCACCAGAGAAACTCACCTCCTTCTGGCTATTCACCTCACCTTCCCTCTCCCTGACCTGCCTATGACTCAGGAGCCCCCCCCCATCTTCCCTCACATTTGGGCTCCGGCTGTGCACTACAGTCTCAGGGGGACAAGCTGGAAGGCAGGGTGATGTGATCGGAAGGACAGGCAGGCCTGGGATCCAGAGACCCGAACCCACATCCAGGATGACCTCCTCCTGCCCCAAGTCGTGTGGCCCATAGATGAGAATGCTGATGAGTAGGCGAGCTCGAGTAGTGAGTTAATGTCCAGAAACATCAGCACGCGAGCACCACTCAAAGACAACCACTATCACGACGGTCAAAGACGCTTGATATACAAGTGTTAATGTGCATGAGGGTAAGTAGGAGGCATCACTGTGTACCTGTTCATAATAAACCAGTGCAGTAAAAACTAAAATTAGGAATTTGTTAGGAACAACAAAAATTATGAAAATTAGCAATACATTAGCATACATTAAGAAATGCACAAACATGGGTTAGTAGTAGTCACACTGGTATCCCAACTTCTCAGGAGCCAATTTTTCTCAGGAGAGAGTAAAACAAAGGGAGGGAGGGGGGCTCACATAGTAAAAAGGCTCAGAAGTAGACACCTGTTTGATTTTCAGTGTTACTGGACGGTTAACATTTCATACATAAATAAATGAGCACTCTGTTAAGTTAGTTAGGAGTACTCACTAACACCAAATAATAAACAAATGCACAGAAATAAAGATTTGGAAATTATTATTAACAGTACATAGCACGTAGTAGCGAGTCAGTGAACGTCTGAGAAACTAAACCAGAAATACCCCTAATAATATACAAATGCTGTCCTGAAAGTGTTCAAATTGGACAAAGACACACAGTCATGGGAAATAACTGAAATACTTCCTTTCAAACTGAGAAAGCCCCCCGATGTGAAAAATGACAAAAAATTTCTTCTTTGAACACAGGAAAAGTCCCCTTTTTCTGGCAAGGGGAGGAAAAACGGTGTGAGCAGCACTGGCATGAAAACAGGCCATAGACGCTGCAGTTGAAAAGGGGGAGAGAACAGAGACGAATCAAGTACAATTCAGAAAACCAGCTATTCCGCCCTGGCTGCCATATTGGGGTCTAATCTGTACGAAAACAGCAAAACTTTTAGTAAGATATTTATGATATGCTAATGTCAGAGGAACAGTGATTTGTGCGTATAGCTTACCATGTGGACACAGAATATCTTCATTAAAATTTAATTCCTCCTCCTCTTCTTTTCTTTCTTCCTTTGATTCATCTAGTCAGAAGAAGTAGATTAACAACTGCTCTAGCTATTTGTATCTGAAATTCGAAGTGGCACAAATACTACTACTCTGCACAATTTTGAACAAAGAAAAATCATTTAAAACATTCTAAAAATTAGACCCAGTGATTCCTACATAGTTCTGCTAAGAAGTGTTATATTCCTTTCCCTTAAAAGGAAAGAAAAATATCTGAATGGCAGTTCTACTTCTGAAAGAGTTAAGATTATAGAAGAAAATATTTCTTTTTTTCAAATTGAAAAATAATTTACATATCCTTCCATTAATTCTAGTCAAGATATTCAGAATACTGTCATTAACTTAGTTAATTCATCTACATGTCATGTCATTTTCACCTACCTATTCTTTCATAGGTTGAACAGGAAGCTTTAGAGGCTAATGAAATAAGAACTTTACCTTTAATATCAAATACATATAGTAAGAATTTTACATTTCCTCTTACTATTTCTGTTCCAATATCTGCTTTTCCTACTTGTCAAGACTGTGTCACCATCAATTTGTAGTTGTGTATACCAGGAACATGATCAAATGGAAGAATTTTTAAGTATCAGGAGATTAGAATAAGGTACCCATGGGTTAGGTAAGTGACACATTTTTAATACACTTGAAATATATAAACAATATTTACTAATCCTAAAAAGGACCAAGTAAAGAAATGGGCAAAGGATAGAGAGGACCAGATAACCAAGAATGGACTAATAGTTACCAAGGGGAAAGGGACTGGAGACGATGTGTGGGAAGGGAGGGTAAGGGCGGGGAAAAAGAAAGAGGGCATTACAATTAGCATGTATAGTGCATGGGGGACACGGGGAGGGCTGCACAACACAGAGAAGACAAGTAGTGATTTTACAGCATCTTACTAAGCAGATGGACAGTGACTGTGAAGGGGTTTGTGGGGGGGACTTGGTGAAGGGGGGAACCTAGCAAACATAATGTTCTTTCTGTAATTGTAGATTAATGATACCAAAATAAAAAAATAAATAAAAAATAAAAAATAAAAAAAATGAAGGGTCACGGATAGATAAAGAGGCTTAAAATAGCACCAAATAAATATTTAACACACTGGGTCACACACCATGTCACACGAATAGTATGGTTTTTGAATGACAGGACAGTAAAATTGAAGCTAAGGTTATGTTCATGAATTATACAGCTCAACAGATTATTTTAACCAAAAGGAAAAAAACTCTTCAAATTTGAAAATGTTAAAAAAATCACAGCTTAAAACTAATAGAGGCTTGGCTGTTTTTATTTTCTTAAAAAGTGAGATAGTGATATGGGAAGACCCACACCAAATAAAATTATATAAAATACTTGAATTCAGAAAACAAAGAATGTTTCAGTAAAAAGGTCAAAAATATTAAAATGATAAAAAATAAACATCTAGGTATGTAAATATGACTATTTGGACATAAGAAAATAAAGTGAAAACAACTGCTTATGAATCATTAATGTACCTCTGGATAAACTATCAAACCTCAAGCTTCCATTTTAAATTTATAAATAGTTTTAATGGCTTAATTTCCCTTGATTAGTGATTGACTTACATTCACATAATTTTCTTTGAAGGAATAGTTTCAGAAAACTCAGAAGAATTTATAAGCAAAAAGCTATTCAAAAGCTGCCTTCTCTCCTGGATGAAAACACAGAAGTACGAGCTCATTTACTTGACGAAGGCAGTGTGTTAAGTGTAGCAGATAATCTATAACCAATCTATAACTCGGCTTACAATATACTATGCAATTTGTGGCAGATTTACTGGTCTTAAAATTTTCAAGTCTGTAGCAGAATTTAAAGTTAATTTCACATGATCAACTATCAAGACCCTGAGTCCAAAGCATGCCAGGTTCGCAGTAATTCCTGCATTTCAACAGCTTAAAAATATTTTGTTTGAGAGTGTTAGGTTTAATATAAATTGTCTTTGAAATTACACGGGTGGGATTTTTGTGGTGTAATTCACAGCCATGTACATACAGGGCTCACACGATACCTTTATTCAACGTGCTGCCGTTCATTTTTCCATTGCTTTGGTCTGCGTCACCATCCTGCTCATCTAACTGTTCAAGAGCAAGCTGGCGCCAACTGCGCAAGGAGGATTTTCCCACCCAGAATCCGTCACTGCTGGGAACAGAGAGAATGTGTACAGGGCACAACTAAAATGAATTACAAACATTTAAAATCAGCCGTCATGCATAAGGTGTCTTTTTTAACCCACTTCCTCAGTTTGGGCATTTTTACTCCTCGCTGTTGAACTGCCGGTGTCAATACAATTTCCTCCTAAATCTAAATCTTATCCTGCTTCCCCCAACCTTCAATTACATCATGCCATCACCCCAGTCAACTGGTCTCACTTTAACTTGACTGCTCCTCATTAACTATGTACAGCTGTCCCTCTAAGTACCCATACAGGCACTTGCCTATATACATCCATGTCTACACATACACATTTAGGGGACTTTGTAGGCTGATGGTGGAATGACCAAAGATAGTAAACTAGATTAATCTTTGTTTGAGAAATACACAACTTAAGTTTAACTGAGATACAGTAAATGCCGTTTGATTTTACTGGTTCCTGAGCCCAGAGGTACTATAAGGAGTGGGGCTAGACATGGGTGTTTGTGACAAGGATGCTCCACTGGGTACCATTTGTTAACACACTTATTTCAGCCTCTTGGGTTAACACCCAAGCCTGCCAGGATGATTTCCCAACATAAGCTTTCTCTAATTCCACGACAGGAACAGGCTAATACTCCGTCTTGGTTTTGTCAGGCCTCAGATCCACATCTCTGCTTCTACCTTTCTAATGAATGGAATACAGTCACAAAGGCTGTGTGGACTCAGCTTTCTCTAACTTCGCTAGGGTGGCGATCTGCAAAATTTAATCTGGCTCTGCCACCCACTTCATCACCCTTCTGAGAGTACTAATTCCCCATTATCTATATGTAAGCCATGTGGTTATTACCTCTTACAAAGTTTTTAGTTTACCATGAACAATATACAGTGTGTAACATACCCCTTTACTGTTGCTTTCAGCAGATTATTAACAGTTTTATAATCTTCATTTAGTTGGTTCTTCAGACGTAATACACGACAACGTTCTACTACACATTCCTTACACAGGGCTTTCACTAGAGGCAAGAGAGAACGAAAAGAAATAGAGTTCACTCACACACAGGTTTCCTGTAGGAAAATGCTGTCAGCATTTCACAAAACAGAGGAATTCTAAACCAGAGTCATAAATTTTGACAACATAGCATATTGGAATATATCCTAAATTATTTAGGAGATAGATTCCAAAATAGCAATATTGTTATCTACATGAAGAACAATGAGAGGTGAAATGTTATAATATGGTAAAACTATCTATACTGTGAAGTACAATGCTTTATAAGATCTAGGTGCAAATTTGTAAGACCGTAATCAAACAAAGCTCTAAAGGTGGGGTAGTTAACATATCTGACAATTATAAATGTAATGTTAAATGTCTGTTAGAGCTTTGTGTAGGTATTGAATATTGGAATACTTCAAAGCACAGAATGCTAAAAAAAAAATAAAGGGCTTGATTAAAAACACAGTTCTAGAACTCATGCAAAATGTGATTCTTTTAAAGATCTTCTCATTGAATAGCTTACTGATTATCAATCAAAAATTTAGAAAGCAAAACTCCAGAGTCTTTATCATTTAGTCAAATGCCAGTTTTTAGGCAGTTAAGTTGCACGATCAGAAAATCGCATTTAATTTCGGGAGAAGATGGGGGTACTCATGCAATTTTGTTTATTAAGCTCGCCTATAGACTGGAGAGCTCCTGTGTTGCCAGTTGCTCATTAAAAAGAAAAATATTTTGAGAAGAAGCAACCAGACCTAAAAAAACTATGGATACTAGGTGGTTGTATATAGCTCTATATTCGTGGGAGAATGAAGCAACTATCATTCATAAGCTAAATAACTAACAATCTAAAGATCTCATGCTGTTAAAAGTTGCCATAGCGGGGAGGCCCAAGACTCGCAGTCAACTAGACCAAGGTTCCAGTATCAAGAGTAATGTGTGAAGTAACAAAATACCATCAGCTGGTTTTCTCAAAAGTGTCATACCTGTCTGCTTGGGCAGCGGGGCGGGCGGACAACAAAACTCAATGAGCAGCATCAGTTTCTTGTCTACGTTATGAATACACCACGCATAAAGCGGTTTAATTTCTACTTTTTTTAGAAAATCATTTTTGTAAAGTGTAAGGAACATTTGGTCCAGGATAGTTTGGGTCAAATGACCGTAAAAAGCCATGAGGAGGACTTAATGATTGTTCTTTTTTAAGCAGAGAAGACATCTCAAATTACCAGTTAGTCTTGGTCCTCCTCCATATCTACTATAGAAAATGTCAGCCGCATACTCAGATATCCTCTTCATAATTGGTATCTTATCAGGATGAAGCTTGTCATGGGAACACAGGCAAGCGTGATTATCGATAGGCTTGGTGGGTGTTGACTCATCCAACCACTTCTGCAGCCACTCAAGAGAGACAAATTCATAGGGCTCTGAGGAAGAAAGCATGGGAAACAGCCTATGTATTTTTACAGCTTTTTGACTACATGATACATTCATTTTCATCAAAAGACAATGCAAACTCTGAAGTTAGCAGAATCAGAAGAATCATTGTTCAGGGAAGATGCCTGATGAGTATGACACAAAGCTCCATTTAACTACCCCTCTTCTGAGTTCGAGCAGCTATGCACAATAGGGATGAGTCTGTACGGTGCCCTATGAGATCGGCTGGTATTATTAACCACATTCTACAAAAGAGGCGTCCACAGAGAGAAGTGTCTTGCTTGACAGCACAGCAGAGCTTCGATCAGGACACCCATGACTGGGGTCTACAAGCCACACTCCACACTGGCTTGTAAATCACACAACGTCAGCCCCTGTGTTTATTTCATAAATGACTTTCATAAATACTTTTTATCAATAGGTGATATACATCTGGAAATTAAAATAAGAAGCCTGAGTTCAAAGTTAGAAAGTAACCTCATCAGCTATAACCACACTTTCATAAGCCCATTTCAACCACTGAACTTTTTCTTCATCCAAGATGATACTGATATTGACTAAAAGGTATTTGATTTTCCCACCCAAATCGTTATCATGACCTATTTGCTACATTATTATGTACTTCAAGCAAGTAAGCCATTTTAAACAAAATCCAGTATGAGTACACTAGAATTCAATTATAAATTTTGAAGCTGCAAAAATTAAGACAAAACCAAACACCTCAAAATGAGTTTTAATTTGGAAAAACACAGTCCCAGAGTTCCCTAAAAGCCAAAATTAAAGATAAAGGGGCCAGCTTTAATTACTTACAAAGATTTCCAGTGAGTCCCAGCATAAAACATAGAAGAAAACATATAGAGGTTGAATTTATATATTTATATTTATGTACTACTTCTGATGAGACCTGAGGGATAGATAATTCAACTCAAGCCCATTTTGACCAGGTTTATACTTCCCTAAGAATTACAAGTCTAGAAAACTAACTACCATTTTGAGTTCAGTGTGTAAAACATTTCAGTTTTTACAAAAACAAAATTCAGAATTGTTAGACCCCTTATTTGTGCTAAAACTGTACAACGTCAACTGAGAGCCTTGTGACTGGTCAGCTCTAATGCTGTTGCAGAGAAGAGCTCACACCTGCAAGTTGAGGCCAGGTCTAATCCAAGTTCTGCCACCAAGAAACTGAGTTTGAGCAAGTCACTTAAACTCTCTATGCTTCAGGTCTTTTATTTGTAAAATGAAGGTAATAATACCTGCCTTCTACCTACCTCACAGGGACGTTGTTGAATGTAAAAGATAAGATATGTGAAGCATTTTGAGCTTTTTGGAAGAAAAGAGATATAGAAAAGTTAATTATACATTCGCACAATATATAAAAGAGGAGACCTTAAGATTCAGTATAGGTAACACTGTGACATTTTATAATATATAATATATAATATGTTTCATTACATTCAAAATATCTTCCAATTTTATCTGCCATTTATCAAGTGTAATCTGCCAGGGACAGAGTACACTGGGTATCTTAAGGATGCAGAGATAAATGGTCTCTACCCAAAAAAGCAAAATGTAAGTTTTAGTGTATTTAATCTTTTCCCAAATACAGTCACACAGATGAAAATTTTTAATAATCTGAAGGCTATCAAAGGAAGGGAAACAGGATTGTGATACACAGAGCAAGATTCAAGAATCATTCACCAGGTGTTCTCATTTCCCTGCACCTGGGGAGGGGTGACACGAGGACAATACCTGCTGCTGACTGAAAGGGCAAGCCCTCAGAATTCTGACTCTTACAAGGACATAAACCTAGGACAGCTACAAGTGCGCAAAGCACTCCTTGCCAAGGGCTATCTGCTGGAATTCAAAGCCCAGGGCAACTCTAACCGGGACCCAAATACAATGATATGACTCAAAGGCAGTCAGTTCAAGACATTTTCCAATCCCTTACCAGAGTCCTAGAGAAAACTTCTAAGTGAAGTTTGCTGTTTCGATTTTGAGTAGTTAAATACAAATTCAATATAAAATAGGAAGATTACAAAAAGCATGGGTGATTTTATAGTGAGAAAGGAAGGAAGAGAGCAGGGACTGGGCCTGTATTTCTGATGTAATACAATCCTTATAAACTCGGCCAGTTTCCCAGATGTAGGGGCCCGTTTCAGTGTGCTGGAGCACATGCAGGGAAGGGGGACCATGGGCACATGGTCTTTCCTTCCATTTCTATCCCTATCACGTTACAGCAAGCTCTGTCAAGAGCTTCCCTGAGAAACAGGGTCTAGCACAGGTCTCCACAATTAAGGCAGATTCTGCTTGCGGCAAGTCTTTATAATACAGATACTTGTGTACTAGACAGAGACTCCTGGCAGATTCTCAAAGATGTTCTCCATCATTCGTGATTCAGTAAACTACCTAAGCAACACCTTCCAAAGGCATGGTTAATGAACTACTAAACATGAATGAGCACTCTCATTATTGAGTTGGAGGTAACAAACTGTATAAAACGTCAGCATCCGACAAACTGGGAAAGCAAGTGTTAAAAGAGTTACCAAAGGGCAATGCAATGCTGGTTCAAGTTACTTAGAATTTCTCTTAAACGCCTGGTTTTGAACGGGGTATTTTCTTTTGGGAAGTTATGGAGTCTAAAAAACTTGTGGCATCAAAACTATTTGAAACACTTTACCCAGAGATACTTCAAGATTACTCATAGATAATCTGTGTCGATTAAATAAATAGGGCTAAGAGGGTTTGTCTGTGTTCTCAATGAGGCTTATATTTTAGCGTAAGTGACTCTTCTTTAACATTCTTAAAGGTAAGATTTAGAAAATGCATATAACAAAAGACCTGGATTGGCAGCACAAAACCATGGTCATTGGCTTTGGGCTTTTATGACATTTTAGGACAATATGGACTTTCCACTACGTAAGTTTGCTACAAATGGAAACTATAAAGCTCATATAAAGTTGGTAGAAGTACTGATACTCTAAGAGCGTAAACACAGGTTTTTATGGACTGAATGAAAACAGCCACGAGAAGAACAAGTATGTGCTGACACATAACATCTTTGGACCATGCCATTTTAAAGAGTGGTTCAAAACAGCATTTTTACTTCAGATCCAGTCAGTCTCTTTCTCTTGTCCAGTGAACAGAGGGAACTGTAAATCAGTTCAAAAAAATAGATTTCTAGGTTCCATTTTCTTTGAATGAATTTAGAAATTTGGATCATGTTCCTTCCAAATCATTTCCAGTGAAATTAAGGTCACTCTAGTTACTAGGATGATCCCAACCCTTGAGACAGAGTAAGAGTAACAGGTTACATAAAAAGGTCAGAATCAAATAAGATGTAGTTTAAGAGCTATTCTTATAGATTCAGCAATTTATATTCATCTTTTGTTTAAAGTTACACCAGTAACATAAAATTAAGATATTAAAAAGACAAAACCACAAGTACAATTATGCTTGAGTATTTATTTTCTAAAGTTAAGATTAAATTCCTTCTTTAAGCAGGAACTGAGTATTGGCAATTCATGTCTATGAAATGACAAAGACAACATATTATTACAAATGGCATGCCAGCCTTAAAAAGTTGAGGTTTCCTTTTTGAGGACTAGGTAAACTTGAACAAACATAAACAGTAAAGGGATGGGCTGGATTACGTGGGATAATTCTTAAGAAATTAGGGGTCAGCAGAAGGCTTTCCTATTCTTAGCATAATATCTGATATTAGATACCAAATTAATCTTTTGTATCATAAAAAACAGTACTCATGAAAGAGGCCTGTTGATACTATTAGGGCACAAAGTATGCAAGGAATTTATAGCCAAGTTGCTTCATAGTAAGCCAGTAAGATTTTTCTTTAAGAATAAATTAATCTCTCACAAAAAGAAGTATCTACAAAGAGTCATATATGCAGAGTGCTGACCTAAACCTAATAATTAAGAGCTTCCCATTTTTTAAAAATACATGATAATGCAAATTATATGGAACACTATACATCAAATTATTACTGATTTACATAGTAATTTTATAGTGTATAAGCTGGCATTACTGAGTTATAAGAAAAGGTAGAGAGTATTAAACGTCTCTAAGAGTACATTCTGTGTATATTTTACCACAATAACAAAATAGGTTGCATTAAAATAGTGTTTATCATGTTGAAAAAAAAAGGGTAGAGGAAAGTGTGTTCATTTACATTTGTGAACATAAAAGAAACAAGGGACTTAATGGCAACAGTGCTGTCCCAGAATATCTTACAGACCAGCTCCAGCAGGTAACCTTTGGTACAGCTCCTTAACCTCTTCGTGCTTTGCTTTTCCTTTATCCACACTTTGCTTTCGCATCTCAGCCATTTCAATACACCACTCCTCAAACTTGGAATTATCCCGATCTACCAGCTCTTGAAGAAAAGCTATTCAAAACAGAAAGAAAAAAACAACTTTATTCTGTTTTCAAAGACACAGGAACATGCTGATCTCTAAATTATATCAAATACTGACTAAGGTTTTGGTGACAAGTTCCTAGTGTGGTCTCTGTTCTGCTGGACCACCCCCAAGCCTGAGAGCAGAAGTTAAACTGAAGCCATCCACTGAAAACCTAGGTGATTCCCCCACCTGGTTCTCCATGACACCATCAGCCAGCTGCAACCATCAAATGGCTCAGAAACACCACTTAAAAACAGATAGTGCCACAAAGCACAGCAGTGTTATGTGGGGCGACAACTGAAGACTGCCTTTAGACAAGGAGCAACTATTCTCTATTTATATACATAATTTATAAAATTTACAAATAAAAGCAACCTGTTCCTTTCATTAACCTTTAAGCATGGTATTAATCTAAAATACTTGCCTTACACAATCCTGGAAAATTGCTTACCTGGTACCTGAACAGTTGTGCTGGGTTTTTCTTGAGTCTGTAGTCTATAAACCAACATGTATGCATTTCGAGAACAGTGCGTTCCTTTGCCACACTTGGGTTTCCGTGTCTGGGACTTAGAAGGTTCTGCTGAGGTAGACAAATCAAAAGACAACAAAATTAGAATGCCTATAGTATGTTCATTCTGTTGCAATGGAGGGGAAGAAAGAGGGGGCCCACAGAAAACAACTATAATACACACTCAAATTACTTCAACATGGATATAAAACTTTAAAAGGAAACACATATTCAGCAGCCTTGTTAGATGTTGGAATATTTAACAGGTTTACTACCCTCCCCCCTTGCCTGCCATATTCAATACTTTAAAGATGGTTAAGTACTGTTTTTCACGAGACAAACCTGGAACAAAAAGTACAACTACTATGTGTTTATTTTAATATTGGTCTCAAATTATAGAAATAAATCCAGACTTAACTGCTCAAGCAAGTAAAATGTCACATTCATAAAAATGAAATGACATGCTAATAAGCAGTAAAAGTAGCCTCTAATCTCCATGCCTTCAGTAGCAAATAAAAACATTTAAGTGTTCTACGTGCTACTGATCATCAAATTGGGGTAGAGTGCTCCAGGGTCATCTTCCAACAGGTATGGGGTCATGAGTGGTTCTGAGGAAATTAATTACCAAGATGTTCAATTCACTATGTGCATTTCTGAAACTGAACTGCCTCAAAGATGATGTTCCACTGATGGCTTCCACCTTTCTTTTCTCAGTCATCTATCTCCCAGTTTACCAAACAAAGATATAACCTATCATCCCATGGCAAAAAAATCTCACTCATGTCATTAAAAGATGTATTTACAGTAAACTTTGACTTTGGAAATTTATAACATACTTATATTGGTTTGATCAGTTAGGTAGTGATGTTTGTACTAATATAAAAAAAAAAACCAAATCAATCCAGAACTTTTTAACTATTTATTTAGAGCTTTACATTTATAAAAACTTAGTAAATTCCATTAGAACATTCTGTAGGGTCAATGTAATAAAAATACTAGTTCAGGAAAAAAGGAAAGTATTAAAAATGTCCTGCTATAAAAAAGCCCAGGTACATGTGTATCTTTGAAAAGGACGATGTGGTTGCCCTGCGTTACTTAATTCCATTTGGATGCTCTTTAAGATTAGTGATGTTGTACTTTGTTTCACTGAATATACTGTCAGAAATTATATTATTTGGAGCTACTTAAATATAATGAAAAAAGGCTGATTTCAAAATCTGCAAAGGAATACAAAGTCATTCAATATTTCTGCAGAGAACACAGGCGCAAGAAAAGTTTGAAGACCACTGTCCCAAGGAATTAACTATCTCAGGTGCATATACAGCAAAGAGGTTGGTCATTTCTAATGGAAAAGTATAAAAATTTAAGATATTCATTACTCTCTAAAGATGGAACATAAAATGATTCCTAACTTCGAGATAGAATACAGTAAACAAATGACTCATGGAATTTAATGAGCAAGTATTTTCTGTTTTTAATCAAAAGAAAACAATAGGTGAGAGCTGCAAAGTAAGTGGCACGAGAGGGAGTGAAGACGAGAGGTATTAAAACATGGGGATGGGTTCCTGTTAAGTGTGGCATCTCTTTCTCCTGAATTATTTTAAAATTTAGAACTCCCTGTATATAAAAAGTAGACAAGACAGTCTTAATAAAGCTTTTAATCCTACAGTACCCTAAGAAAAATCAAATAAACCTCAGTAAAGAACAGCCAAATAAAATCCAGACATAATTATTCACAATTTAAAGTCACATCTCAATTTTGTTGCTACTAAGACTCTCACATATGAAAAAATAAAAGTGTTAGGAACTTGCCTATTACTTAGGTAGAGTGGGGGCAAGATTAGTGAGTATCTATAAATACCTAAATGTGATTTAAAAATAGAAAATACTTCTCTAAATCACAAGACTATAGCCACCACATGAGTATCTGCAGCAAGATTACCCATATGTCTTGGAAACCAAACCCAACTGCAGGCTCCCTGTGTGACACCTCGGAAAGGTGGTTCTGATCCATTAAGAAAGAACAGTGGCAGGAGACACACACCTATTCCCATTCCTTTTCTCTTATTTGGAATCCATAGTCCAAATCTCACTCAAACGTGGTGGGGAAGTGATGAAAAGCTTGGCTTACTGGAAGAACTATTCACTCCTTTAGGGACTGAATGGGTCTTTCGGCCCTACTGTGAGAGCTGCCTGGTTGGGCACTCTTTCAAGAAGTACTTTATGGCAGCCCTCATTGCTACAAACACCCAGCAGCTTCCTCCCCACATAGCAGCGCTCCATACTCCAGGGATGGGTAAGATACTTAATGCACAGTATGGATCAAGGGATGCACAGACACCATTCTCAGAGCAAAGTTCCCCTGCTATAGTTATTACCCCAAAATAAATTTCCTGATACAGAGAAAAGGACTACAAATCTACTATACTAATCTACTACGCATAATTTTAAGTTTAATATCACCGTCCTCTCTCCCCAATTCCCCTCCACTCACAATTAAAACTGGTTATTGAAAATTGAGTATTTGCCTTCAAATTGTACAGAAAACATGACATAGAAACCATCTCTGGAGCAAAATCATGCTTTAAAAATTTGAGATGTTGCTAATAAAAGATGTTCAGAGACTTTACGTGTGCTTAAGAAATGCAAATATCTCTGATAATCCGTAACAATCTTGGGCTATAATAATTACAAGCATTTCCGGTAAAAAAAAAAAATTTATATTTTAAAAGGGCACTCACAACTTAAAGGTTTTACCTAGATCTTCCTCAATCCCTAGTTGTAATTTCTTCCCCTCCATCTTTTCTATGTCTTCGTCATTAAACTTATACCATTCACCGGACTGTGGATCTTTCACATGGGCAATGTAGTGGCCAGAATAAGCACTCACTCCTCTGTGTATGAGGACTGCACTGAGTTCATACACATAGGACCCACCTAGACGGGGAGAAAGGGAGAAAGGGAGATAAGTTTTGGATAACAACGTTTCTTCTTATATCTTGAGCCTGAATTATAATGATTATAATTTTTTATGCATCTGTCAGAATTCAAAGCATGTCACTTAAGATAAAAATTCAGTCTTACAGATTAATGTAGTAGACATATTAACTCCCCACTACCTTTGCCAAATATACAGATGGAAAGCTATGTCATTCTGGGCATTCGGGGTTATGAAACTTTCTGTCCTATTCTTTGCCCTTCTGCATTAACTGGCTGAGCCATATGCTTAGTAAAAATTAGCTGTTATATTCTCCAACTTGTTAGAAAAATTAATTACCAAACAAATGAGATGAGTACATGATCAAAAAGCTATTGTTTTTAGAAAAAGAGAAAATTTTTAGGAAAAAATCAGAGTTAAGTCACTATGAATAATTACTTTTAAAATAGGTGTAGGCACAGAGAAGACAAGTAGTGATTTTACAGCATCTTACTATGCAGATGGACAGTGACTGTGAAGGGATATGTGGGGGGGACTTGGTGAAGGGGGGAACCCAGTAAACATAATGTTCTTCATGTAATTGTAGATTAATGATACCAAAAAAAAAATCCAAAACAACAACAAAAGATAGACACCCTAAATAAATAAATAAATAAATGAATGAATGAATGAATGAATAAATAAATAAATGAAATAAAATAGGTGTAGGCAAGACAACTGGAAATGACAGGGAAGAAAACAGTAAAATCCTAGAATAATTCTGCACTCATATTTCTTAAGTATTTTAAATTCCTATTCCATTTTAAACAAAACCTACAAGTCATAGTCTATTTTATGTGTGCAGTTTATATGAGAAGGCTAATTTAGTTATACATCTTTATCAGCAAATGAACATTTATATTTTCAGATAAAATATTTTAAGCTTTTAAAAGTATCTTTTAAACATTCTAAACTTAATCATGGGGGTTTATATGTATGCTGGAAAAGATCACTTCTACTATGTTTTATTATCAAAAATTAGAAAACAAAACCAACATAGCCACTATTACTTGAGCTGCAGTTTTTTCCTAACAAATTTATCACTAACATCTTTCTATACCATTAAATTTTCTTCTGAACCACACTCACACTGTTGGACATTTAAACTGGCATCATTTTAGGGCCATTAGCGTAAACAATAATCATCTTTGTAGTACAAATCTTTGCACATATCTTTGACTATTTCATCATAATTTCCTGAAAACTACAAAGAATGAATCACACATTTAACAAATCATTCAACACTCATTCAACAAATAAAACATTCTGGACACAGTTTTAGGCACAAAGGATAGAGCAGGTAACTGAAAAAACAAAGCCACAGCATTCTTGTAGCTCAGAGGGGAACACAGTAATGCAGTTAATACCTGCACCAAAATCCATCTAACCCACCCCAGCTGGAAATAATTTAAAACACTGGGTAAGATAAAAATATTTTAAAATCTTTTAAAATACTTTGATTTCCGCTGGCAGGAAATAAGAATTTTCAGAAGCCAATTCCTATGTGAAGACAGTGAAGGCAGGAAGCTAGGGAGGTAAGGACAATGAGAACAACTTCCTCCCGAGAGCACTAGGTGAAACTTGATGAGCCTGAACTTTATTTTTTCACATCTAAGAGACTTGTGGGACCAGAGACAAAAGCTAGGGCCCACAAAAGGAGTCTTGCAGGGGACTCCCATCATGAAATTAAGATTTCTTCAGTTTAGAAATACGCAGAAATGAACCTGCCCTGCACAGCAAGTAGGAAAGAAGTACCTGCTTTATCCTTATTTTGACATTTGTGGGTGAGAAAAAACCCAGTCTCTGTTCCAAGCCCTCAAGAGGCTAGCCTTCATGAGTATTTCTACCAACAATTCACACTACCTTGAAGTCAGAAAAACCTCAAACCAAGAGTTTAGTTAGAGGTGGTCCTGGGATGAGTGACAGTTCCAAGGAATACGAATTCAGTCAAACATACACATGCAAGTATCACAAAACACAAAAAGACACAAGTCACTGTAACAGAGGCAGCAAACACAACTGAAAGCAAAACAAAACCCATGCAGATGTTCTCCTCAGTTACTGGCGAGAGCCAAATTACATAAGCACAGTTAAGTATATACATCTAAAGAAATAAATGGTGGAATTAAAATTAAACTAAGGAATATGAAATTATAAGAAATGAACATCAGATACTATAAAGAATTGTGATCAACTGAGAGCCAAGACTCTACAGGAAGGTTTAGCAGCAGACTAGGTTCACCCGGATAGAAAATCAGTAAAGTCGCAGGTAGAGGTAAAGATTACACAGAATGCGGGGCAAAGCAACAGTTAGCAGACATGTAGTATACAGAGTCTTACACACATATGGAATTACAGATGAAGAGAAGCATGAATGGAGAAGAAAAAAAATTTCAAGAGATAACAATTGAGAAACTTTGAATTCCCTGGGTAGAGAAGATAAATGCATTAAATCCAACCCAAACAGGTCATAGTGGCAATGTAAAACACAAACACCAAAGATCTTAAAAATCAGACAAAATAAAACGGGCCACCGGTAAAGCAACAAGAATTAGACTGCTAGACTGCAAGCAACTTCTCAACAGAAGCTCTAAGACAACAGAATCTCCAATACTTTGTAAATATAACTGTTCATACTTAGAGAAAATAAATTTCACAACAAAATACACTTTCAGAAAATATGTATAAACATAATTTGTCACCAATAGACTTATATAGAAGTAATTTTCTAAGCTCTAATTCAATATAAAAAAAGTGATTCCAGATGGAATGTCTAGAATGTGAAAAAGAATGGCAGACCGAACGGAGACTGGTAAACAACTATATACCAGTAGTCCTACACATATGACATCCTAAGTCTTTTTTTTTAAAAAAAAAAGAACTAAAATACATATGAAAAGAAACAATTTAGAAGAACAGTTTCTTAAACAAGGGTTTAAGGCCATTGTACTCTTTTTAGAAGGTAAAGACATTAACTCTAAAGTATCCATGTTAACAATTTCCAGGTTAATCACTAAATGAACAAAATTGTGACATCAGACAGCACAGGCTGTATCCACCAGGGGGGCATTTCCACACTCTACATTTCAGGCTTACCTGGACTCACCCACCCACTGTTCTTTCTACTACACTGCACTCTCCCAATTATTTAATGGTAAAGATGAACCAGAAACAGCCTCTCTATTTCCCCAACCTCAGGAAACCATAAAGAAAACTCCTTAGCCCTGAGCAGAGCAACAGAAAGAAAATGTCATGGTGTTAGACTAGTCTTCATACCAGGTTCTCATGGCTTGAGTGAGCAAGGGGATCTCAAGCACTGAACTCGGCAGAAATAAAACTAAGGTCTCTCAGGAGGAGATGGTATCATCCCAGCCCTAAGGGAATTCCCACAAATAATTTTCCATGTGCAATAACCAACATGCAGCAGAGATAACCAGGTACAGAAGAAAATGGCAAAATTAGAAAAGCCAGCTCAGACAGCAGAAATAAACCTGCACAATATTTCAACAATGTCAGTCATGGATTATACAATGAAGCTTTCTACATTTGGTGAAATAATAAGCTTGAAAATACATGCAAGTAACATGCAACTATAAAAAGTCGTGTATTATTACACTGAGTGTAAAGGAGTAGCTGGTCCAGTTAAAAGTTCAAGATTGGATTGGTTTTATGTACATTTGAAATTCTTCAAAACAAAAAGTTTGAGAGGTAGAGACACATCACCTATGATGGTATTTTCCCCAGGTACCTTCAACAGCCAGAAGGAGCCGAGGAAGCAGGGAGTAAGATCTTGTCGTGGGTTTACCTGGCAGTAACATCCCGAAAAGAAAAAGGCAAACTAAACGATAATGTTTAAGGATGTGAACCAAGAGTGAAACATTAAAGGGAGAAAAAGAAAAGGACTGCCATAAAAATCAGATTAGTGGCTATACTTGGGAGGAATGAGGAGGCTGTTACTAGGCGGGGCCCAAGGGCAGCTTCAGGAGAACTGAAAACGTTTTCTGTCTTGACCTGGTGGCACACATGCAAATGCCCATCTCATGACAATTCTCTGAGCCATACAGTTTTGTATTTTGAAGTTTATGGGTGTGTTGTACTGTGTAATAAAAAAGGAGAAAAAAAAAAAAGACAAAGCAAGATGTATGACATTTCAACAATGGAAGGGTGGCAAAAAACTGGACAGCTACATGCAAGAGAATGAAACTGGATCACTGTCTAATCCCATACACAAAAGCAGACTCAAAATGGATCAAAGCCCTGAATGTAAATCATGAAACCATAAACTCTTAGAAGAAAACATAGGCAAAAATTTCTTGAATATGAACATGAGCAACTTTTTCCTGAATGCATCTCCTCGGGCAAGGGAAACAAAAGCAAAAATGAACACATGGACTACATCATGCTAAAAAGCTTCTGTACAGTAAAGGACACCATCAGTAGAACAAAAAGGTACCCTACAGTATGGGAGAATATATCTGTAAATGACATACCCAACAAGGGGTTAACATCCAAAATATATAAAGAACTCACACACCTCAACACCCACAAGGCAATATAACCCTATTAAAAAATGGGTGGAGGACATGAACAGACTCTTCTCCAAAGAAGAAATTCATATGGCAACAGCACATGAAAAGATGCTCCACATCACTAATTATCAGAGAAATGTAAATTAAAACCACAATGAGATATCACCTCACACCAGTTAGGATGGCCAGCATCCCAAAGACTAGGAACAACAAATGCTGACAAGGATGCGGAGAAAGGGGAACCCTCCTACACTGCTGGTGGGAATGTAAACTAGTTCAGCCATTGTGGAAAGCAGTATGGAGATTCCTCAAAAAACTCAAAATAGTAATACCATTTGACCTGGGAATTCCAGTCCCAGGAATTTACCCAAAGAAAACAAGTTCTCAGATTCAAAAAGACACATGCACCCCTATGTTTATCACAGCACTATTTCCAGTAGCCAAGATATGGAAGGAACCTAAGTGTCCATCAGTAGATGAATGGATAAAGAAGAGGTGGTACATGTACACAATGGAATACTATTCAGCCATGAGAAGAAAACAAATCCTACCATTTGCAACAACATGGATGGAGCTAGAGGGTATTATGCTCAGTGAAATAAGCCAGGCAGAGAAAGACAAGTACCAAATGATTTTCTTCATTTGTGAGTATAACAAAGCAAAACTGAAGGAACAAAACAGCAGCAGACTCACAGACTCCAAGAAGGAACTAGAGGTTACCAAAGGGGTGGGGTTGAGGAGAGAGAAGGGGATTGAGGGGTATTATGATTGGCACAGGTGGTATCGGGGAGATCACGGGGACGAGAGCGTAGCACAGAGAAGACAAGTAGCGACTCTGTGGCATCTTAATACACTGATAGACAGTGACTTCAATGGGGTATGGGGGGCACTTGATGATATGAGTGAATGTAGTAACCACAATGTTTTTCATGTGAAACCTTCATAGAGTGTATATAAATGATACCCTAATAAAAAAAATAATGCAAATAAACAAGGGCAAGGTCAGGTATGACCCTCAGATGGGATGAGGGAGGGTGGAAGACAAGATCACTGGAGAGACTTGTTATGAGGTTAGTTGGAACGGCTGTCTACAACAATTTTCAATAGTATTTCCTAAATTATTGATGAACACAATAAATCACAGAAGTATTAGCAGTAACTATGGTTTTATCATTAATGGACAACACAAAAATGTTTATATCACATTACCGCCGTTAACCCAAATTTATACTCATCAGTTCATTATATTCATCTATTTTAGAATTGTGGTGGTTTGTACAGCCACTGGAACCTATTCTTTAATGAGCACCGATATTACTGTATCAGCAATTTGTCTTGGTATTTTGATAATTGTATTTAAACATAATTGGTCTCTCTATAGCATCTTACTATGCTGAAAGACAGTGACTGCAATAGAAGGGGTGTGGACTTGATAATAAGGGTGAATGTTGAAACCAGTGTTGTTTATGTGAAACCATCACAAGATTGTATGTTAGTCACCAGACTCTCAAAGTAGTCTACAGGGATATTAAAATCCCCAAGAAACACAGCAAGAGTTGAGTTAGACAGTCAAGTGATAATGTGTTCAAGGACTGAGGATCTCTTGTCTCTAGATCTCTCGATATCTGCAAGTTCACTATTTGAAGAAACAAGTGAATTCTCCTTTTAAAAACAGATAGCCTTTTAGAACTTCTCAACCTTGTATGGCTATGTGTGTGTAGACACGTATGAATAAGAACATAGGAAAATATAAATGCTGTTTACTTGGGTAACAGAATTACAGGTGGCTTCTATTTCTCTTCTTTATGCCTTCTTCATGCAAATTATCTAGAATGAACCAAACCCTGTGTAATTACAACAAAATCAATTTGTTTTCACTATTCTGCCTACGTAAGGTCCATTTGTAGAACAAACATTACAATAGCCTGTGGTAGAAATGGGCCTGTAACTACAAGCTACTGGATTAATCTTGCCAGTCCTTGTTAACAATTCTAGTAAGATGACAACTTTTATTTCTCTACCTAAAAACTAAGAGTTTACTACATTTAGTAAACCCAACACACTAACATTAGAGCATTCCTACAGGTTTTTTTTTTTAACCTATCAACTCTAGTGGATAAATATCTTGCTTTCTGTACAGTACAAATTGGACAAATATATAATTTAGTAACAATAATCAGAAGAACTATACAAAATCATACAGTGGAGTCAAGGAAGGTGCTGATTTTACATCTCCTAAGTTTCTGGACACTGAGAAACCACTAAGCTATCAAACTTCTCAAATTTCTAACAATTACCTGAACAAAGGAGGCAGGAAGCAAATTACTATACGGAGGGAGCCACAGCTGAGTATATTCATTCAGCCAATATAACAGTAGCAAAATCTCTAGCAGTTTCCTTCCTCCATGGAAGTACAAGCTTTAACCCACAGTACTAACACAGCATCATCCATTTTCATTTTAAAGCTTAAACATTTAACACAACACCCCCAACCTTCCCAGTTATTTCTTTACAAGGTTTTGTTTCATGGCTTGTTTTTACTTTAAGCTGCCTCAAGAACATTTTAATGGAAAGAAACAGAGTTTATATAAAAATTTCCAAAAATAGATCAGTCTCAAAAGGGCAGAAAGTTTGTTTTCTCTAACAGAAATCACCCCATTTGGTAAGATGAATACTACCAAAAAAGAAAAGTAATAAATTACTTCTTGTTGAAACTGTGTCACAGTATTCTAGAGCTTGTCACTGGACATAGAAATGAAGAATTATACTATAAATATTGGAATTATGCCACCTAATGTTGATAAAATGTTAAAGAAAAAAATGTGAATGGAAGCAGCTTGGAGAGACTTATGAGGAATTACATATGCTACTGAGACCAGGGTATCAGGTATGGGTTCAGAACAGTAAAATATCTTTTTCACTTTTTATTCTTTTGTACCCTTAATTATGTAGCTATTGATGAACCATCCAATCTTTGTTACATACTTACAGAAAACAAGCAACACCTTGGCTCACCTAAAAAGCCTTTGTCCCCAGAGATTAGCAAATAAAATCTAGTAATAAACTGCTCTTCTGTATTCATCACAGCAGATCATGATTACACTCTCTGAACATTACAATTATCACTGCTTAGTAAAAAAAAAAAAATTACCTTTATGTTCCACATAAGGCTCCATATCCAAAATTTCTGAGAAGCCAATGTAGGTATTCAGCTTTTTCTTATGTCCAGTTTGCCTAACCAAGAGGAAAGCTAATTATATTTACAATAATCATAAAACAATGTATAAGCTCTATCAGCTATTTTAATAAACTCAATAGAAGCAGAGTAGATTTCATTTAGCAAATCTTGTTCAAAAACCTGTAGGATTAGAAGTAAACATAATACTACCTTATAATTTGGCAAAAAAAAAGTCATCAATAGGTTAAAAAGGTATGAATTTAAAATACTGATTCCAAATGTAATACACATTTCCAGAAGTTCTAATTTAATCACAAATGAAAGCCACAATGTTCCTGCTTTACAGAAGAACTGCACACATATAAACATTGCCTGGTTTTAATTACAAAATGAAAGATATATTTCCACAGTGGGTGAAAGGATTGTAACAAGCAGAAAATCTACTTTAGTTCTTATACAATAATACAGAACACAATAGTTCAGTTCATACCTACATGTTTGTTTTCCTTTGCGGTTTTTGGTAATTTCTTAGAATAAAAATAAGGATTCCCTACTTTCTAGTTCTCACTTACATATGGCTGATTTAAGAATTTTATGATAAAATCATGAATTATTTGGCATTTCAAAATGACAGGCTCCACTTTTTTCCTCCCCAATTCCGGAGTTACAAATTGTAAGCAATTGCATTAACTATGGGAAAATCTGCACACATTAGCCCACAATAAGCAACAAACACTACTATGTGTACAGTTTACCTGTCAAAGACAAAACGCATTAGCTGCAAGTTCAGAGTGCAAGGCAGACTCAGGAGTCGGATCTTCCTTGTTGCATTCTGTTTGCTTTGACAGTTTTCACAGAAATATCGATTGTCTCCTTCTAATTTTTCTTCCTGATCAGGAATAGGACATATTAACTTTTAAAAAAATTATTAAGTCCAAGAGTTTTTTTTTTTAAGTGATCAAATCTCTGATGTAAAGTGTAAGTTCATTTTAATTACTAGCTGCCATTCAAACTGTTTAAAATCAAGCTACTATAAATAATGAAGGACACATAAGATAAAAGGCACTACGCAGCAGTGCCGTTGCTGATTTGTAAAGAATGATTTAAAACTGACATGCCTCCTTCCAAAATGTACCATTTTTAAGATGCTTGTTTTAGGTCCTTTGTCCTGAAAATCCCACTTCTGTGAATCCTAAGGAAGTAGGTTTTTAGAAAAAATTATCATTCATATTTTGATGCAGCAAAATTAATTCAAAACCAGTGAAAATGTGTGGGAACTACATATGGGCACTGGAGTATTAAAATGTATATATTTTAACACACACATGGTTGAAATTATTAAACCACATTCATAGTACAAAGCTAAAAGAGGAACATGGGAAAACTCAATGGTAAAGCTAATGGTGATTTCTTTTAAGTTTTTTCCTTTATGTTTTTATAGTAATTTTTTGATACAGATTACTCTAAGGAACATAATACTGGTGCCATTTTATTCACTTGGCTTAGGATACCACACTCACGTGTTTTCCTCTGAACTCACTGGCCAGTCCCCCTCCTCAGCATTCCTATCCTTGTTCTCTTAATGTCTGAATGCCCCAGGGCTGTCTTTAATCCTTCTCTCTCACTCCCTTGGTGATTTGATCCAGCTCCTACTTCCCACCTCTCAGATGAACCACACCTCTCAGATATAACATGCCCCAATGCAAACTCCCAATGTCTCCAAATCTACTCTCCCCACAATCCTCAGCTCAGTTAGGGTAACTCCATTCTTCCAGTTACTCAGGCCACAGAACCTTGAGAATCCTGATTCCTTTCTTCCTCTCCATACCCAATATGCAAACTGGGTCAGCTCTCCTTTAAAATTCTATCTAAAATCCAAACACTACTTGTCACCACCCTAGCTAACCCTTGGTCTAAGCCACCCTCAACTCCTCTCTGCCCTCACCCCACCTACAGCCTAGCCAAGATAGCACCCAGAGTTCCGTTAAAACAGATTACATCGCTTCTATGCTTACAACCCTCCGGTGGCATCTCTTCTCTGAGCGGAGGTCAATCTTCTGACAAAGGTCTACCAGGCCCTATCTGACATGGTCCTTAGTTACCTCTACTAGAGACTTCATCTTTCTTCCCTTCCTTACTCACTTCAGCCACACCGATCTCCTTGATGTTCTTCAAACTACCACACACACTCTCATCTCATGCTCTGCACTCTTTCTTCATCTGCCTAGAACACTCTTTCACTATTTTATTGCACGTCTGACTCCTTCAACTTCAATCATTTTATTTCTAATTGCAACCAACCTCAACCTCATCCAAACCATTCTCCATCCCCCTTCCCTTGCTTTAATTTTCTCCATAGTATCTATTATAGTTGACACACTATACATTTTACTCATATTTAATGTCCCTCCCTGGTCCCCACACCATTACACTACAAGCTCCTCAAAGTCAAATTTTTGTCTGTTTTGCTTACTGTGGTTATCCCCAGCAGCTAAGAGTGCCCTGAACACACTATGCACTCAACAAATATTTAGCCAAATGAATTCAATAATGAGTACTTCAAGCACACTAATGATTGTGCTAAAGGAGTAGGAAAAGTACAAAATATTTTAAGAAAGGAAACTATAAAATAAGCTCATCTATTATGCTATGTGTCTGTTCCTACTTGATAACAAAGGTTTCCGCTTAGCAGCTTTTCCAGTTAGAACAAAAGGGAACCACACTTCCACATCTTTACATAAATCTAGATATAAAGTAGAAATATGAAGTGGAGGGGGTTAAATAATGAGCATATTCATGTAAAACAACAGTTGCATTTAACACATTCTAGTTCTCATTAAATGAAAAGGCAAATTAACCTGGGAACAAAATGTAGATTTCCTTAAATATTCTACTACCCCCTATCACAAATTTTCAAACATGCATAACTTTACATGTAAAATAACCTGAAACAGCCAAAAGTTATTTTAAGACAGAGCCTGCTTCAATACTTTAAAAACTTTTAAGTTCCTTCTAGATCATTACATAAACTGAGACATTTCTTATGTAAAAAAGACGAAGTAATGAAATTTATCCATTAAATTGAAAAACCATTCAGAATAGCATTTAACTGTTCATAAGCAGAAACAACATATACATCAAAATTTAAATACCTTCAAAAATTCTGAGATACAATCTGTTAATTGTTTGTGGCCTTGGATATTTAACTCCAGTTCATAAAACTTTGATAAAAGCTTAGACTCTCTGCCACACTGATTGCAACTATAATAAAACAGAATGATAAAATTAAGATCAGAGGAGGAAAAGCAATTATGTTCTACTGTAGTACATCCTAGAAATATGGTAAGCAGCATTTAATACCTTAGTTCTCCTTTACAGAAATTACTATACTATGTATATTAGAAAGATTAAGTAAAAGCAGAAAGTGATTGGTGAGGCCATGATTAAGCAAAATTTCAAGAGGTATATTACATTTAGTATTCTAGCCAGCTCCAATCTTAACTCTTTCAGCTCATACCATAGCTATAAGATAAATGGCAAGAGCTCAACCAGACACAGTTCCCAACACCTGGCTGGGTTCAATTGCAATTATCAAGTCAGTTGTTTACATGTTCCCATGGAAATGTATTACTATAAATATTTCAGGTCCCATGACAATCCACTAAAGCTATTAATTTGGAACTGAACTGAAAATCAGATAACATGAACAACTGTCTCAGAATAAAATGTACCACGAAGAAGCTGAAGCACACTTACACAGTTACATAAGCATATTCCCCACAGAACTGCTGTTGGACAATGTTCCGCACATCTGGATTCTTTTGTTTAGACAGAGTATCTTCCAAAAGAGACATAAAGAGCTTTGAAAATTCTTGGGCATCCTACAAGTTTGGATTAATAAAAAAAAAAAAATCATATCTTGCTTTTCAATTTCTGAAACAAATAGTTTTAAGTTAAACATTCCAGGAACTATCTGTACTTTGAACTTAGCATTTTCGAACAAGGACAAGAGTTATGTTGAATCATTTTGTGCACACATAACAATTTTCAGAAATGGGATCAAAGAAAATGTGTAATATACTGAACAGTAAATAAATGTTCTAATTCAAACTAGAAAAACACTAGTTTTTAAAAAGTATTTCACTTCATTTCCTCCTATATTTTAAGGACTATTTCAGAACCTTTTCATATTAAAAATAAATAAAAGGCTCTTACCTGCTGTTGCCCTGTGTCCAAACCCAAGGCTTTAACAAATCCCGATGGATCAATGTATCGCCTATTACTGTTTTGCAACAAGGCAAACAAATACTGGAGATGCTCACAAATTGTTTGAGGCTCATAATCTATTAGAAAAATATATACATGTTTGTTTTTTGAAGATTGCTACTTTTCTTTTTTAAAATACATACTTCCTCTTCATGTGAGAACATTTTCAAACACCCTTACATCCAAACTGTGTTAGTGTTTTATTACAATTCTAAAACTTTAAGCAAATTACTAATCACATTTTTTTTGGAAGTAATGAGACGGCCATGCTGTCTGAATACATCGCCTAAAGGCAAGCATTACATATGCATTACAACAACAGTGATCATGACTACAGTCCTAGAGTGTAAAACCACACTGAAACATCCATTCCAGTAATAAAACTCATACTACATTTAGCATTTGGGTAAGATGGCCAAATACTCTAATATAATTTCATTAATACGGACTCACCACGAACAGATCAAGTGACAGGGATCTCAAGCATAGCAGTTCACACTGGAATGAAGGGCATGATGATGCACTGCTAAAAATCCTAGACTTCTACTAGAGTTGCAAGTCTGATGAGTTGGGGGAAGGTATGCAAACAGGAAGCTTAATGGATCTTAAGAGCCCTAAAAGACTTGAGTATTAGCATCTGTGCCAGTTATCGTATTGCCTCAGCTCCAAATTCACCCTTCTTTGCCTGCTCTGTGGTAGCAGAGATGAGCTCTGCAAATATTTCTCCTTTGCCGGGTAGTGCAAAGTTAAGTCTTGTCAGTAGAGGGCACTGGGAGGTTCAGCTGTGCCAGTCTCACCAGGCTCCTACAGAGCACAGCTTTCTTAGGACTCCAGGTTCCTGCAGCCAACAGCAGATGGCAGCTTCTCCCAACACCTCCTCTGGTGGTTCCACAGTGGAATGCCTCTGCTGAGGCACTTCTTTTGAATGACCACCCTGTAAATGACGTCCTGGGCACCTCTCAGGTGACTTAGCAGGGAGTTTCAAGCCCAGCGCACCCCTGTGGACATTTTTCAGCAGGCATCTCAGTACCTTTCTGGCCATGCAGTGAGAGCCCTGGCAGTGCTTTCTCCACATATGTCTGATCACAGCCTGAGCAGAAGGGGTAAGGGACTTCCTGACTTTCCCTAGGTGTTCTCTTTCAGCCCTAGGCATAGTGGCTGCTCCCTGAATCTGCTATTGCTGTATTTTATCAAGTCCTCTTTAATTCTTACTCACCAATTCCCCCAGTACTCTAATTTCCTGCTAATAATTCCCTATTCTTTCTCTGTTTCAAATTATCCTGTAGTTTCTATCTCCCGACTGGACTCTGAATGGGTTCTCTCTTTGCTACCAATTGTGACTTTCAGGAACTCAATTTCATTTGTAAAGTAAAGATACAAATCTTATAGTGACTGCAGTAGTAGGGGGTGAGGGTGAAATAATGTGGGTAACTGCTGAACCACCACCATGTTGTATATTTGAAACTAATATAAGATTGTATATCAACTATACTTCAATAAAAAAAGTACAAGCTGCAAAAAAAAAAGGATACAAATCTTACTTCCTGGGGTACAAGGGCTTTGCAGGCTGTTAAAAGCTATTCAAGTAAATTTCTATCTACTCCAACCCTTATTTTATAGACAGACACTCCACGAGGTCTTAAACAGATCATAGTCTGCTGGTTTTCCTATTGGCACAGAAAGAGTGGTTGAACTGGGAATGGAACTCAGATGCCATCTTTTCCAAAGTAAACCCTTTCCAGTACACTGCACTGAGCTTGGTAAGACAGCATCAGAAATCTACACTCTCATCAGAGAACAAGGTAAAGAACTTGGGCGAAATACAAAAATCTGTGTGTTCAGAAATTTTAAAAACATTTCTTAAAGATACACATTAAAGCCACAACACCCTAAAAAGGCCATAGTACATCATTCTATAAAAAGGAAATTAAGTTTTTACTTGTTATTTAGCTCTCTTCTCATTGGTAAGCTTATACTTCAGCAAAGCAATGCTAAAAATTTTAAACGATCCATTTTACATTACTCATCTTTACATAACTATTACTTTAAATACTTAATATACTATTAGCGTAAGTTTAAATATTCAGAACTATAGAAATAAAGCTTTGAGGGAACAAACAAGAATTTTTAAGCACTGTGTTTTGACGCAAACATTATAATTAACAAGGACCAAGACTAAAGCATAACCCATTGTCTGGAGGCTCCAGGAAGATACAGGACTTATGAATACTCTTTTATCTATCAGAGTCAAAGACAGGAGCCATGTGTCCAAATCAGAGCATATAAAAGACAGCAAGGAATTTACAGAGGAGAATAAGAATCAACAGTTCCCAACCTGGAGCTCCCAGACCTATATAATCTTAAGACACTCACTTTCCTTGAGCCCCCAGCTTTCTAAAGGAGAAATACCTGTTTCTTCTATGAAAGTTCCATCTCAAAGAGAATAATCTACTAGACAGTATTATCAATTAGGGATAACAGTCTACATACTATGCATGAAAAAAACTAAGAAATTCTAGCAGGAACAATTTAAAACTGATTCTTCCTAAATTTGCAATGAGTCTACACTCAAAGTCAATGAATTTGTTAGAATTTGTTATCAACTATCAGCCTATGTGGAAATCAGGACAAAAAATTATTTGTAGTTACATTATTTATTCTCTCAAACAAGGCAAAAAGTAACCTTGTCTGCTTTATTGATTGATTTTTAATCAATCATTAGAAATTAATGGACTATAATCACAGCATATCGCCCAGAGAAATTATAGCTGTAAACTACCTAAGAATAATCAAATATATCTCCTTCACTTGAATATTAGTCATGTAATGATATTAGTCATGTAAATGATAAACACACAGAAAACAGGCAAAACTATTTAGAATCCTAACAATCTTTAGAAAGGACCTAGCACTATGCGTGGCACATAATGAGCACTCACAAGTTAGTTTCCTGTTTGTTTGGTTCATGAGTGATCTAGCTGCCAATATAGTCCGAACTGAACCCAACTAAATACATTCCCACTAACCTTTCTCTTTCTGGATACTATCTCCCATCATGTAGTCGTTACAGGTACTTGGACATAAGTACAGGGCCTGCCGAAGCTCCAGGTTGAGAAACCACACTTGGAGAAACGTGTTGACATAACAAGTGGCTCCAAGGTTAGTGAGGCCCACAAATGAGTTCTACAAAACAACAAGATTTACAATTACAAAATCAATTTCCCTTTAAACAAAAAAATAACAAGAGGCATTTATCTTCTATATAAATGTCAGATTAAAGATTTTTTAAAACCACCCCAACCAACATGGTTATGCCCCTCTTGGTTGGAGGTAGACATAATTTCATCAAAGACACATCTGGGTTGACTACAGGAGTGGAAAAAAGCCTTAGGACAACACCACCGCCCCTCTTGAGTCTTCTCTAGCCACTTGTATTGAAAATTAAAACAGTGGGCTCAAGGACCAATCAGTTCTGAACATGCACCCATAGGTTTTTGATTTGCTCTATTCTTGAACTGCCAGCATTCACAAGAATGACAAAGCAAAACTTCCAGAGAAGTTCCTTTTCGTCCTATAGATCTGGGAGAAGGCAAGTGGGGGGCGCACACAACAGAGTTGTCTGCAACTTCTTCCGAAGATTGAGAATTCCTGGACTTAAACTGACTCTTTTTCATAGAGACAATATCGATACAGCTGACTATTTTGTGAATGCCAGGCATTAGGTTTAGAAAATATTAACGGTTGCTTAAAAACAAAAAAGTAAAACTACCTGTTCTGTGCATAATATATAATAATACACGTCCCCCAAAAACCAGTGGTATCATTATGGCAGCATATTCCCTCGATCTACCATTTCCTTAAAGAGACTTAAAAAGAGTTCAAAATAAAATATGCCAATGTTAAAGTAAACATAGAAATCAGTATTTAACTAAAACTTTTATTTAAAGGCTAACTGGACTACACAGCTACCTATTTTAATGTATACCATTAAGAACTGTTTCAAATGAAGCAGTTTATAGTCTTAAACTCTACTACTTATCTTAAACCTACATAAGTTACCTAAAATCAGTAATGGTTTCTGATCAGGGACACAAAATAAAATAAATACACTGCACTGAGCTTGGTAAGACAGCATCAGAAATCTACACTCTCATCAGAGAACAAGGTAAAGAACTTGGGCGAAATACAAAAATCTGTGTGTTCAGAAATTTTAAAAACATTTCTTAAAGATACACATTAAAGCCACAACACCCTAAAAAGGCCATAGTACATCATTCTATAAAAAGGAAATTAAGTTTTTACTTGTTATTTAGCTCTCTTCTCATTGGTAAGCTTATACTTCAGCAAAGCAATGCTAAAAATTTTAAACGATCCATTTTACATTACTCATCTTTACATAACTATTACTTTAAATACTTAATATACTATTAGCGTAAGTTTAAATATTCAGAACTATAGAAATAAAGCTTTGAGGGAACAAACAAGAATTTTTAAGCACTGTGTTTTGACGCAAACATTATAATTAACAAGGACCAAGACTAAAGCATAACCCATTGTCTGGAGGCTCCAGGAAGATACAGGACTTATGAATACTCTTTTATCTATCAGAGTCAAAGACAGGAGCCATGTGTCCAAATCAGAGCATATAAAAGACAGCAAGGAATTTACAGAGGAGAATAAGAATCAACAGTTCCCAACCTGGAGCTCCCAGACCTATATAATCTTAAGACACTCACTTTCCTTGAGCCCCCAGCTTTCTAAAGGAGAAATACCTGTTTCTTCTATGAAAGTTCCATCTCAAAGAGAATAATCTACTAGACAGTATTATCAATTAGGGATAACAGTCTACATACTATGCATGAAAAAAACTAAGAAATTCTAGCAGGAACAATTTAAAACTGATTCTTCCTAAATTTGCAATGAGTCTACACTCAAAGTCAATGAATTTGTTAGAATTTGTTATCAACTATCAGCCTATGTGGAAATCAGGACAAAAAATTATTTGTAGTTACATTATTTATTCTCTCAAACAAGGCAAAAAGTAACCTTGTCTGCTTTATTGATTGATTTTTAATCAATCATTAGAAATTAATGGACTATAATCACAGCATATCGCCCAGAGAAATTATAGCTGTAAACTACCTAAGAATAATCAAATATATCTCCTTCACTTGAATATTAGTCATGTAATGATATTAGTCATGTAAATGATAAACACACAGAAAACAGGCAAAACTATTTAGAATCCTAACAATCTTTAGAAAGGACCTAGCACTATGCGTGGCACATAATGAGCACTCACAAGTTAGTTTCCTGTTTGTTTGGTTCATGAGTGATCTAGCTGCCAATATAGTCCGAACTGAACCCAACTAAATACATTCCCACTAACCTTTCTCTTTCTGGATATTATCTCCCATCATGTAGTCGTTACAGGTACTTGGACATAAGTACAGGGCCTGCCGAAGCTCCAGGTTGAGAAACCACACTTGGAGAAACGTGTTGACATAACAAGTGGCTCCAAGGTTAGTGAGGCCCACAAATGAGTTCTACAAAACAACAAGATTTACAATTACAAAATCAATTTCCCTTTAAACAAAAAAATAACAAGAGGCATTTATCTTCTATATAAATGTCAGATTAAAGATTTTTTAAAACCACCCCAACCAACATGGTTATGCCCCTCTTGGTTGGAGGTAGACATAATTTCATCAAAGACACATCTGGGTTGACTACAGGAGTGGAAAAAAGCCTTAGGACAACACCACCGCCCCTCTTGAGTCTTCTCTAGCCACTTGTATTGAAAATTAAAACAGTGGGCTCAAGGACCAATCAGTTCTGAACATGCACCCATAGGTTTTTGATTTGCTCTATTCTTGAACTGCCAGCATTCACAAGAATGACAAAGCAAAACTTCCAGAGAAGTTCCTTTTCGTCCTATAGATCTGGGAGAAGGCAAGTGGGGGGCGCACACAACAGAGTTGTCTGCAACTTCTTCCGAAGATTGAGAATTCCTGGACTTAAACTGACTCTTTTTCATAGAGACAATATCGATACAGCTGACTATTTTGTGAATGCCAGGCATTAGGTTTAGAAAATATTAACGGTTGCTTAAAAACAAAAAAGTAAAACTACCTGTTCTGTGCATAATATATAATAATACATGTCCCCCAAAAACCAGTGGTATCATTATGGCAGCATATTCCCTCGATCTACCATTTCCTTAAAGAGACTTAAAAAGAGTTCAAAATAAAATATGCCAATGTTAAAGTAAACATAGAAATCAGTATTTAACTAAAACTTTTATTTAAAGGCTAACTGGACTACACAGCTACCTATTTTAATGTATACCATTAAGAACTGTTTCAAATGAAGCAGTTTATAGTCTTAAACTCTACTACTTATCTTAAACCTACATAAGTTACCTAAAATCAGTAATGGTTTCTGATCAGGGACACAAAATAAAATAAAAAACACAGGAACACCATATAGAAATCACATAAAAAAAGATAGCTTACCTTTTTTCTCCTCTCACAGTTGGGATCATCAATGTTATGAAAACTATTTTCATCTATTTCTCCTAACCAAATATGCTCACCAATCCCAACCAAGCAATTTGGATTTCCTTTGCAGTTTCGTCTAAGAAAAAAGTATTGTATAATTTTAAAATACCATACTTCCATAAGAAACATGCAAATTAAAACATTTCTGAAAACTACAATTGATATACCAATTTTCACATATTCTGTATCTATGCAATTAGCAAAACCAAGAAAGTGTAACACCACACTTGGTTTGTGAGTGTGGGGGAAACAACTCATTTACTACTAATAAGAATGAAAACCGGCAGGACTTTTATGGAGAGGAATTTTGCAATTTCTAACAAAATTACATATACAGCTAGCTTTTGACCTAGCAATTCATTTTTAAGAATTCACCCTGATGTTGAAACCACAATGCTGCTCATGTGAAACCTTTGTAAGATTGCACATCAATGATACATTGAAAAAAAATTCACCCTGATGATGCATGCACCTCCAACAGTGTGAAAACACATGTACTAGCACTATTTGTAAATGCAAAATACTAGAAACAATCCAAATGACTGAACAGGACACAGTACATCCACATAAGGGAGTGCTATGCAACAGTAAAATGAAAGACACATGACGATCTCTAGGAATGTGGTGCAATTTCTTTTCAAGGATATGTTAGTAAATAAAGACAGCAAAGTGCAGAAGAGTATCTAGAGATTGTTATTTTGCTTATAAGATATACATATATATGTATACAATAAGTATACATACATCTACTCACTTGAGCAAAAAGAAACAAAAAGGATCAACCAGAGACTAATGAAATTGGTTACCTAGCCAGCAGGAGTGGGATTAGAGTGAAGAAAAAAATAGTGGGTGTGGGGCAGTACATTAAGAGTGGCTTTTTGATTCTCAAGATGGCAGCGAGAGTAGGGTGGTGGAAATCTCCCAAAACCATATACTTTGAAAACACAGCAAATAAAACTATTCCAAAAAGAGTTAACAGAAGATACAGTACACCAGCCAGGTTACATCTACATCTGCCAGCAGCCTGCCGTTCATTCCCCCCCACCGGCACTGCAGGCAAACCGGCTGACCCGCCATTGGCGAGGACCAGCCAGAGAGCAGCGCCGCCCACAGTAGCCACACAGAGGCTTCTCCCAGCACACAGCTAACCGGGCCAGACCAAGTGGCTGCCCCCTGCCCACAGTTGACCGACACAGACAGCGGAAACCGGTGCAGAGTCCGGAAGGCACAAAGGGGCTTTATTCTTGCGGTGAACATGCACTGCTCACCTGCTTCTCCCGCCAGTGCCCTAGGACATCCCGAGGACCACCCCGCCCACAGCAGCTCAGGGGATTAACCCAGAGGCTGTCCCCTGTGCACGGCCGACCGGCACAGGCAGAGGAAGCCTGCATGGAGTTCAGAAAGCATGTAGCTCTGCTCTTGCGGTGAACACACGCTGATCGCCTGCAACCCCTGCCAGTGCCCTAGGATGTCCCAAGGGACACCCTGCCCATGGCAGCTCAGGGGATTAACCCAGAAGCTGCCCCCTGCATGTGACTGACCGGCACAGGCAGAGAAAACTGGCATGGAGTCTGCAAAGCATGTAGGGGCTCTGTTCTCACGGCGAACACACGCTGATCGCCTGCAACCACTACCAGTGCCCTAGGCCATCCCAAGGGCCAGCACATACACGGCAGCTCAGGGGATCAACCAAGAGGCTGCTCCCTGTGTGCGGGTGCCCGGAACAGGAAGTGGAGACTGTTAGGCTGGAGGAAGGAAAAACAAAGACATGCAAACAGAACAGAGAGATGCCATAGGGGGAGAACAGACCAGACCCCAAGGTCCGTGCCTTATATGGAAAGGGCACAGCTCTTCCTGAATTCCATCCTTCTGATGTGCTAACTAAGACCCGGATGTCAGCCTCCTCCCACTTCGAAGGAAAAAAAGTTTCTAGTTGTCTATTATGTCACCTTTAGCCATTCATACCTCTCCACGCCCCCTAGGATAGCTTGCCCACTCCTCCCCCTCCTAACCCCTTATAAGCCCCCACCTCCCTGACCGGGTGTGACTTCCCCGGCCTGTAATACCCAGACCGCGGAACATCACCCGGGAGTTGCACTCAAACTACCTGGCCCTTTGTTGCCTCTCTTCGCCTGCTTATTTCGGCTAAAATTTATCTTACAGAGACTAGCGCAGAGTCCCAAAAACACGAAGTGGTGCCATTCTCATGAGAGAAAATGTGCCACTTGCCTGTGACCCCCGCCAATGCCCCAGGCCATCCCAAGGGCCACCCTGTCCACAGGAGCTCAGGGGATCAACCCAGAGGCTGCTCCCTGTGTGCAATTGACTGGCACAGGCAGCGGAGACAAGCAAGGCAACCAGTAAACAAGAAGGGACTTTGTTTTCCCAGCTGACACACGTGCCATTCACCGGCGATCACTTCCATCGCCATGAAAAGGCAGAAAAACCTGGTTCAGTCCAAAATCCCTTAAACACCAGAGAGAGGACCTGATGAGACCGAAATAACCAATCTTCCTGAAAAAAATTTCAAAATAAAGTCATAAGCATGTTGATGGAGCTACAGAGAAATATGCAAGAACTAAGGGATAAATTCCAGAGGGAGATAACAGAAATGAAACAAACAATGGAAGGATTTAAGAGCTGACTGGATGAGGTGCAAGAGACTGTTAATGGAATAGAAATCAGAGAACAGGAATACTGAGAAGCTGAGGCAGAGAGAAACAAAAGGATCTCTAGGAATGAAAGAATATTAAGAGAAATGTTACCAATCCAAATGGAACAATATTCACATTATAGGGGTACCAGAAGAAGAGAGAGAAAAAGGAATAGAAATTGTCTTTGAAGGGTACATAGGATTAAAGATGGTGGCGTGAGAGGTGAGACAGAGGCTTCCTCCTAAAACCGCATATAATACAAAAATATAATTAATACAACTAATCCTGAAAGAGAAACAGGAAAGAGGACTGCACCAGACTGCATACACCTGGAGAAAAGAGCAGACCTCATGGAACAGAGTAATATACCAAAGCTGTGGCACGGGGGGACCCAAGCCCTTCTGCCACCCCAGCTCACCAGCGGGAGGAAAAGAAATGGAGCAGGGAGGGAGTGGAGGCCTGGGACTGCTGAATACCTAACTCCGGACATCTGTTCTGGGAGCACAAACCTACATTTCATGGTGCTTTCATGATACTCTCATGATTAGGGGATTGGAAAGCAAGACAAGCAGAATTACTGGAGAGACATATTCCAGCCATTTGTGGAAAGCAGGGATCCATACCTGGCTGCTCTGGGACAAAAGAAAGGCAGGCAGTCTGAGAGACTTCCTAACAAGGAAGCCCTTAGCAAGAGGGCTGCTAAAGGGGCAAGGATTGCACAGAGCTTACAGCTCAGGAGAAAGGACAGGTAGACAAAATTGTTCGGGTGCACTCTGCCCAGCAGGTTAGGAGCTTTCATGATTTCCAGGTGCTCCAGCTCCCTGGCTGGCTACACAGCTCCAAGGACCCCCTCTGTGATAGGCAGCCTACTGCGCTTTTCTCCCGGCCAGCCCCACCTGGCTCGCAAACCAGCAAGCCCTACCCTGGTGTAAGGCCAGCCAGAGGGAAGATCTGTCTACAGCAACTACAAATGCAAAGCATAGACGCTTATACCGGTGTGCTCGGCCCACTGGTTCAGGCATGGTTCAGGAGTGGAGACAGGCATAGCAATCGGGAAGCAGGAAACAGCTCTTTCCTCCCCCTAGGGACCAATAACACTCCCCTGTGACCCCCAACATTGCTTCAGGGGCTGAGCAGCTCGAGAGAGTAGAGCTTCTGGACACTAGAGGGCACCATATACAAATATGAAAAGCCAAAGGAATCTGGTTCAAAGTAAAATTAATATAACTTCTGAGAAAGATGACATGGACCTCATGACTCTTCCTGAAAGTGAGTTCAAAATAAAAATCATTAACATACTATTGGTGGTACGGAAAGATATTCAAGAACTCAGGAATGAATTCCGGTCAGAGATCCAATCGTTGAAGAGCACAATGGAGAGTATTAAAAGCAGATTAGATACAGTGGAGGAGACCATAAATGAAATAGAAACTAGAGAAGAGGAACACAAAGAAGCTAAGCTGCAGAGAGAAAAAAGGATCTCTAAGAATGAAAGAATATTGAGAGAGCTGTGTGAACAATCCAAACAGAACATGATTCACATCATAGGGGCACTAGAAGAAGAGGAGACGGAGGGCTGTACAACACGGAGAAGACAAGTAGTGACTCTATAGCATCTTACTACGCTGATGGACAGTGACTGTAATGGGGTATGTGGTGGGGACTTGATAATGGGGGGAGTCTAGTAACCATAATGTTTCTCATGTAATTGTACATTAATGATACCAAAATAAAATAATACAATAGAGGGTGTATGTGACTTTTCTTAATATAACCTCCCATACACTGCTGAATTCTCAGTCTATATGAATGTTTTACAAACACAAATCAGTAAGGATGGGGGGAACCCCAAATTCAACACAAAAACATTTCAATTGAATAACATATCCATGCTGAAGGAAAGCAGGGTGGGGAACTAAGCCAAGTAACTGAACAGTTATTAGCAAGCTCATTTAGTAGTGTGCCTCGGGCTAAAGATAAAAGGAAGAAATATCATGCAGAGATACAGATTAACCTTTCTGAAACAATTTTCTATACATTCTACAACAAAAAAATTAAAATATACTGGGGATAATGCGAACCAAGTTTTAGAGAGGAAAATTACAAATTCTGTTGCCTTGTTGCTCCCTTTTTTTATGCCTTTCAGACTTTCAACTTTGGAATGTACTATATTCCAAAATAAGAAAATAATTGCTCGTAATATTCTACTTAAACATAGTTCCTAGAAAGTTCCTCAAGTTGGGTCTTCCTGGTAATGCCTCATGATTAGATTTAGACTATTCACTTTGGTAGATATCTTGCGGAAGTAGTGTTGTGCCACTCTAGGTGCCTCGCACCAGCAGGTGCATGCTGTCAATTAGACCCATTGCCTTGACTTTGACCCTTTGGTAAAGGTGATGTCTGTTTAAGTAATTTATATCTA